CTGTCAGCTTTAATTTGAGGGTATGTACATCCAACTCAGGTGAACGGTGTAGGAAGTACAAGAGTTTGCATATGTGCCTCCCACTTGTTAAGGGACCAAAGGTAATGGGACAGAATAACAATCATAAATCAAACTTTCCCTTTTTAATACTTGGTTGCAAATCCGTTGCAGTCAATCACAGCCTGAAGCCTGGAATGCATAGACATCACCAGACGCTGGGTTTCATCCCTGGTGATGCTCTGCCAGGCCTCTACTGCAACTGTCTTCAGTTCCTGCTTGTTCTTGGGGCATTTTCCCTTCAGTTTTGTCTTCAGCAAGTGAAATGCATGCTCAATGGGATTCAGGTCAGGTGATTGACTTGGCCATTGCATAACATTACACACATACACCTACCTCCTGGAGAGTGTTCTTGATCTGGCCAACTGTTGTGAAGGGTGTTTTCTTCACCAGGGAAAGGATTCTTCGGTCATCCACCACAGTTGTTTTCCGTTGTCTCCCGGGTCTTTTGGTGTTGCTGAGCTCACCGGTGCGTTCCTTCTTTTTGAGAATGTTCCAAACAGTTGTTTTGGCCACGCCTAATGTTCTTGCTATCTCTCTGATGGGTTTGTTTTGTTTCTTCAGCCTAATGATGGCTTGCTTCACTGATAGTGACAGCTCTTTGGATCTCATCTTGAGAGTTGACAGCAACAGATTCCAAATGCAAATAGCACACTTGAAATGAACTCTGGGCCTTTTATCTGCACATTGTAATTGGGGTACTGAGGGAATATCACACACCTGGCCATGGAACAGCTGAGAAGCCAATTGTCCCATTACTTTTGGTCCCTTAACAAGTGGGAGGCACATATGCAAACTCTTGTACTTCCTACACCGTTCACCTGAGTTGGATGTACATACCCTCAAATTAAAGCTGACAGCCTGCAGTTAAGGCACATTGTGTTTGTTTCATTCCAAATCCATTGTGGTGGTGTATAGAGCCAAAGATGTTAGAATTGTGTCGATGTCCCAATATTTCTGGACCTGACTACATTCAAATGCATACTATTAGCATGCTGCAAGCCATTTCCCCTTAGAAAAGCACACGTGCTGGGTCCCAATAGGTTTTGTGCACGTTTTTAAATTGTGAGATATAAGACTTAAAAACTGGTATGTATTAGGCCAGTCTGGTCTTGTAATTCTCTCATTTAGGATCAGTCCCCATCAATATGATGCCATTCATGCCTCTAACACCCACATACTCTTTTAGTTGCCCTCCCCCCGTCAGAGGCTTTCCTAGCCCTTCCCCACCAGTACCTCCCAGGCTCCCTACTTCTTCATACCAATAGTAGCTTAATTGCTACACTTTCTTGCAAGCTCTCCTGTGATATGGTGAACCCAGACTTTCCATGCTGAAACACAAATGCTTACATTAACAAGGAAGCTTGTGAGGAAGTATTACTCTAAACTGAGAGACTGGACTTGCTGAAATCAACTGGATGCTGGAGGCTTCCCCCCCCTTGGGATAGTTTGGTGGTCTCTTGTCATAGATGCTCTCTGTTAAGACTGGTGAAAAAGCAAGTTAAGGAGATAACATTGTTTTGCTAAACCCCTTCCCAAGCCTTGAATGTGTTCTTTTAGTAATAAAGCATAAAGACAATCTTTAAAAAAGGGCTGTCTGGGCGACTAAATTCTACTTTCATTTTGGCAACATTAAAATGCAGTGAGACATAAGAACACAGAGTGCTTTCCTCCTTAGATATGGCTTAGAAGAAAAAGTTACTGTGATGTCCCTGTGGCAGCTATTTTCCATTTTTGTCTATGTGGTAGAGCGGCACAGGGTCACAGGAGCACACCATGTAACTGTTTATAGTTCCTATTATGTTAATATAACAATTGGTGTGGTCTGACAGTGGTGTTGCTGTGGCTGATAATGAAATGCTACAATATTCTGTTGTTCAAACTAGTAATGTGTGTTTGTGCTTTCAGATAATTCCTGGGAGAACATAGGAAACATAACTCCATATTACGGAGAAATTAGTAGGACCAGAGTAAAATATTGTGAAAGACTCCAAGCATTTTAGCCTTTGTTATAAAATAGTTTGGAGTGTTATTTTGGGTCTTAGAAATAGGATCAATGTAATACTTACCCCTGTGTAAACATCTCTTTTTGATAATATGCCAGAGGCTAAAGTGAGCAATAGAAGGTAGGCATGACCATCCTACAGTAACTTTCAAATAAACATGCATGATGTTTATGATATATATTGCTTTGGGATGGTTTTACTCTGAAAGATAGTACTAGAAATAAATAAAAATATGTGATTTAAAGAAAGGCAAGATTATCACTTGTCAGTGGAGTGGATTTATACAGTGGATTTATACAGGAGTCCTCCTCCTCCTTTTTAGTAATGTTTTTAATTAAGGTTTTATGTATTTATAT